TTTCACTGCTCGCACATTTGCATATTTTTGAAACTAATTTGCATAAATATATATGGAGTGATTTCATTCTATGCATACATTGGGAGGTGTGGATGGAATCGTCGTTGGTGCTATGAAAGTTAGAAGTATTTATGTGTGACTTGCACAAAAATCTTTCTTGAAGGATATGCCATTGTTTATGATGACCATTCATACTGATTACTATTGAAGAACAGAAGAAAGACTACCTCTCAAACGGTACGATTTATGCTTCATCTTGTTAGCTGCTTGTAGGCTTCATTGTTTTTCGAAGATGAACAATTTGTGTGCGATGATGCCAAAATTTTTGCTCTTGTTTCATAGTCTGCTGAGTCATGATGAGAACAGTTTGGTAGAAGTTGCCGACGAATATACAATGTAAAGTCTTGAAATAATGAAACAGAGTGACCCTCTTCACAGTGCTCTGGCTGGTCATATTGACAATTATGACGATTTTTCGCATTGTATTACAGACGAAGCTACTTTCTAGGAGCGTATTGTGTTTGTTATGACGTGATCAACAGTACTTTCACTATATTGTAAAATTACCAAGTAGTTGATTAAGCTTATATTTGTTTTGTTTTCTGAGATTTTGTCGAATGATGTACCATGTATTTGGTGTCTTTTTGCTGTTGTTGTCTCCGCGTTTTTCAGATTTATTGCTGTTAGTTCAATGTTCAAATATTAAACTGGATATTGACCCCATGCATTATATCCAGTCTAAGAAAGAGCCAGTTCTTTAGCATTGGGTATCGTGACTTTTTCGTTTACAGACACTGCAGACCCGGAACTTCGCGTTCTTTCAAATAGTGAAGTATTTGTAATAGTCCAAATGGAATAATTCTTGACTTTTTCCGAATTACAAATAGCATAGAAGACGGGATTCTGTAGTCTGCACTTTGAAAACCGCAAAGAGATGGTACGACGCGTCAAGAATTTTGTAGATCTGTTCGTTAGCAGTGCAGTTATGGGAGGTGACACATTCCCAAAAACTTTTATCAAAATTTGTGCGCATCTAGCTTTCATCTTTCGCAATTTGCTAATTTCAGTCTGAACAAGTCAACTCTCGAGTAATGAACTACTTAGGTTATATTGTTGATGCCAATTGTAGATTTGTCGTGACTGACTACTTATCATCAGTTTACGTCCTATTAAACAAAATCTTTTAATCTTAAATTTAAATATAGAAGTTTATTAAGCTCAACGTCTGCATTTAATAAACATTATCAACCACAGGAAAACAGAAATGTAGGAGCTTTCAAAGGTTTTTGCAATCCACAGTTGCAGAAATTCAAGTTTTTTATTCTATCATGCCTTTACAAAAAAGGTAACACAAAAAAGCATTATTTCGCAAAGTTCTCTTTCTGAGATATATATTACGAGGTATTAGACGAGGAACAAAATATCGGATACTAGTGTCATAATTTGTGGTCAGTATTAATACTCCGACTACTCGCAGAAATGTATTTTCTATAACTACCTGCATCTGTCAAACATAAATCGTCAAATACTTTGTGATAAGTCATCATTTTCGAACCTGAAATGTGTAATTTGTAAACTGGATGAGATCATATGCAAGTGAGTTCAAATCCTTCGCTGGAAATACTATTTCAATTACATTTCATTTTTTTCGATTTCTCATTTTTATCAACACGCTGTATCCGTTTTCGGTTTCGCTTTTCTTCACTCTGAAAATAATTTGCATACAAGGAAAACAATTTTTGTTTGCTTGGATTTTCCAACGACCTGATGAACTAATGTTTATCTTTGCGTAATGTTAATCACGTGATCCCATTAAAAATTTTGAAACAGAGTTTTACCCTACTTTAACAAATATCAAAGTCTTAATATCTGGAACCAAAATTTCATGTGCATGAAGATTGAAATTTTAAGTTTTTTACTGTTTAGAAACACCGTCTTTTTGATAATAATCATTCCAAATAGTCTGAACCATCCTTTCAAAACTAAGATGTGAAGGCTTACTTCAAATTTTTTGTCCTTCTTGTTATTCAGTCTATCATCAGATTTCACTTGAAACTAGAAAAAATAATATTATGTTGCAACATCCTCTGAAAGATACAATGAAAATTTACATGCAAATGTACAAAAATGACCTGGTCTTCCTCAAATTCTGCGATATCCATATTATTTCTTCGCCTCTCTTTCAAATCATTCTCAGGACAGAGAGAAGAATAGTAGTTCTCCCATTCTTTTGTAAACAACTGAGGAAACAAATGCTGGAAAACTTCATATTTCTACATGATTTCAAGTTCGAACAAATTCAATATTTTCTGATACAGAACAACCTTAAATAATACCTGAAAGTCATTTTTTTTCACTTCATTATAATAAAATTAACGTACCGACTTCCCATGAAACATGGCTTCCAACTTTAGTGTCAAATAATCGTATAACTGAAATACAAACGTGTTACTTTCAGTTTCTCATGAGCGCTTTTTGAAAATGAAGTGAAATGTCAGCAAGCAAAAGAGGACAATAAACCTGAGACCATCCGGACTTTTATATATTTATTATTTTCAAAGATTGACGTTTATTATTTTCATGAGCAAACTTCATTATCACAAATACTACGCAAAGTTCTATTCTCAAATTAAAGCAGCATAAAACCATTTCAACAGTAATAAGTGGAAGCATCTTTGAACGACTATCGTTAAGACCATTTTATGAAAAGCACGAATTTCATTTAACCTAAATAATGCTTTATGTAATGTGGGATGTTTCATTTGGACAATAGATAATGAAAGATCTGTAGTTAAACATACTTCAAACATAACGTCATTTGTTTCTCGAAACAATTTGTCTACTTGAGGATCTTCGAATGACAGCTGACTATAAAACTGATTGTCAAAAGTCGTGAGAAATATAATAAATACTTCCAAAATTTTTTTTGATGCAGTGAAAATAGTGCAAAACGTTCGCACAAAATTACGTGAGCATGTGTTTCACCATAGCAAAAGCGCATTTAAAGATAATTATTTAAAAAAAATTGGAATGAAAAACGCTGATCGATATAATAAATTCATTGCAATGACTGTTTCATGAATCTTAAATGACTGATCAACAAAGATGGTGAATTATCATCCTGTGTTCGCATAAACTAATTGAAAAAATAGTAGTGGAAATGAGATAAACTTTACCAGCGAACATATCGTTCTGAATAACATTTCACAGTAGATGGAATGCAGTAATCTTCATCGGCAGAAAGTTGGACATACTGCAAGATTTCATCTTGCGCATATCTGCAAAATATGCATTTTCTCAATTCATAACAAGACAAAATTGCAACAGATGTATCCCATTACCGATGACTGCTTTGAAAACACTACCGGAAGAGTACCCTGTGACACGAATAATCAGCAGATAACATATGTTATCAATTTTTAATGGGCGTTAAAAAATCTACAGTGCTCAAAATGATAACAATACTAGTGTGCAGACACTATATACATCTCTTCAATCCTTCATAAGCACTAAGCTAAGCTGTTAACCTACAGTCAACTGACGTGTATTGCAACATATATAAGATACTGCCAAATTTATGATAGAGATAATGTCGTCAAATAGTAAAATCAAACCTCGGCTTATCGGAAACAGATTTCAAAACAGACTGCTGCGCACTTGTCATCATTACTTGTGCAGTGCTTCTGTGAGGAACAGGAGTGAGCAGCAGACTAAACAGAGATGAAGAGACGGTACGATCGAAATCTGGTACTATACATGGACGCTGAAAAAAATTAATACTGAGATATTGCATAGAGAAGCCACCAACGAAGGAAGAAAACAAAAGGAGGAGGAGAGGGAAGGAGGTGCTGCTACTGCCTCAGTCCTGCCTTGCAACCTTTGCTCTGTGCAGAGTTACTGCACTCAGTAAGCACAAGGTGCGGCGCTGACCCCAACCATTCCCTCCATCCTTATCCGCATCATCTTTACCTTCTGCCCCCGCCCCCGCCCCCGCTTTCCCTCCCTCTTCACTCTTACTACTATCCTAATCTCAACAAACATAGTAAGTACACTTTCAGGCAGGCGGGCGTTCATCATCCATCATCCATCATCCATCATTCATTTGCACTGGAATTGTAGTCTGTCCATTGTTGTTGCAGTTACTCCATTTGTGCTACTTGCACTGCGACACTGTTTGCTTGTCCACTACTGATTGCAGTTATGTTTTCAGTATTTGCTGCTGCATATTGTATACTCACTTCTCCTTCTGATGACATTCTTGAACTCATACATGGATAGCATTTGCTGCACTCAAGTTCCTCTTTGATATTTGCTTTTTCGCAATGCTCAGTACTTGAAGGGTAATTGAGGCTGTGTGAACGAACCATCTCTGACCCTTCTTATGTAATCGCTTATGTATTGAGCATTACGTCATGTCTCGTCTCACAATATCACTTTATATTGTTTTTATCTTTCGCTCTTTCTTTCCGCAGTGTATAGGTCGGTTTATGTGCAGTGAAGAAAAAATGTATGCTAGCCTGTTCGTAATCTCGAACTGCACTGCGCAGTTGTGAAAAGCGGATTTCGAAACATATCGCAGTCTGCTGTATAAAATTGTTTCTTTCGCAATACATTATTGTTGTCATAATTATGGTAATAATTATTATGTCTTATATGCGCTCACTACATCTCATGTTTGCGCGCAATATTTAGCTCATATGTATGATGGATGAGAAGCATTAAAAATACTGCTGCAGCAGATTTATTTGAATTGAGGATGACGAGGGATCCTCTCATTTATTTGCCAGCTAGAAAATGGACTATGTAGAGGAAGAGTGATAAGCTGAAGGGACAGAGTGTATTTTTTTACACGTCTAAGGAAATGATTCATTCATTAACAACAAAGGTTGTCAAGGTAACAACAGCACACTATTATTCGTTTCTTGCTTTTACTGTTATTGTCGTCTTCATCATCATTTTATCAGTCATATCAATTAACAAGGTTCGCAGGCTGCTTTCCTACATCTGTGTCATCTTTTTCTTTATAAATTTTATTAACAACTGTTTTCAAGCATGTTGCTGCAACATACTTTTCTACTTGTGATTGCTTGACACGGTTAACTTTATTTTAACTTTTACATTTGCACTGAAATCGTTTTCATTTTTCAACTGCCTTGATTTTTTAATGTATTACAGTTTTCAATTCATCAACTTCAACTTCAGCTTTCATTCAGTTTTCATTCAGTTTTCATTCTTTCGGTATCATTATCAAGCAACTACGGTCTCGGAAAACTGGAAATTAATATTCCTGTTTATCAAAAATTCTTCCAGTGCTTGCGTGCGTTTTTTTTTTCTTGTTGCGATTCAATGATTAATTTACTGCCTGCTCACTAATACTTGCAGATTTAGATAATTAGCAAAGCTGAAATATTACTAGCCGGATAATGGATGTGGAAATTGGTATAACTACGCAAGTCTCAACTGCTCGAAGAACAAGTTTACCGGGACGTGATTCTGGTTTGGGTACTCCGTCCAGTAATGGTTATCAATTTACAAAGTTTGCTGATATTGCTCGCACTCTAATGGTATAACTGTTTTCATGCACGAAGTAGTCACTTTCACTTTGTATTTGATTTGCTGTAGAAAAAAAAATGCTGATTCAGTAATATAAAACAGTGCGTATTCATGTTAATTTTGAAATTCAATTTTTTGTTAATTCATTTTACTTCTGCCATTCTGCATTTGTAGCAAGGCAAAGTTGCACTGACCAAGTGTTCGGAAATTCCTAAGAATCATGTTCGCTGAAATTTGTTCGCCTTTCGATGATTGCCATCACTTGAGTCAGAATTCATTTTTTAGTACTGTCAAGTGCTTTAATGGAATTTTTTGAAGATAATTCGGAACTGGATTAAGTCGTTGAAAGCAAAGACGAAAGCTTCACGAGAAAGTACCAAAAATTCGGAAAAAACTTTGGAAATAAGATTGAATCCAACAAATAGTGAAGAAAGTGGTCGGATTATTGACAAATTAAAGCACAAATTAAAGTTAGTGAACTTCATATAACAATATCAGTTTTTTTCACTTCAGGATATAAGAACGCAAATTAGGAATGTCAGTTTAGAACTTCTCATATTCTTTAGTGATTTAAGTCAGGATCGATGAGGTTCTACATGTTCAAGTGTCTCGTAGTTTGAATGAGCCATTGACATTCTTGTAAACTGAATATCATGAATAAAGATTATTGCTAATTGAAATTAAAAAATAATCCTCAAATTACACGACATACATCTTGGTCCATCATACCCACATTTGACATCGCTGTTGCACTGTCTAAAAAAGAATTTTGTTAACAATAATTTTTGTTACAGGGTAATGATATTTTTTGTCGTGGAACCCACATCATCATTACTGTATTACTGGACAGCAATTGTTTGCATGGGATGTTTTTACAATTTGCTCATGGTTGTAATTTTTGTGTATAAGGAAATTTATGCCAATTATTTCTACGAATGGCTCACCTGCAATATAATTTGTGATATTATTTTTTTGATCGATATATTCGTGCAGTCACGAATCAGTAAGTTCTGATAGACTTTGATTTCCATTGCATATTTACATCATCCTTATCCACCCATGATCTGCACATATACTACTGTGCCTGGATAACTTGTTCACTATTTGATTACTCAGTCTTTACTGTAAAAAATGAAAACTTGAGCTTTAATTTACAGGTTATATCCATGATGGAGCTGTTTTTGAATGTTTAAAAATTCTTGCGAGGAGGTATTTTTATAGGTAGGTTTCTCTTATCAGAATAAGCCTGATAAAAATGCGATATGGGTGAACTTTCATTTTAGAAATCTTTAATTTTCATGATCACACTGTGAGTCGGTTTAATCTGGCATTTCAAAATAATGGTGAATTTTCACTTTGAATCTTTTTATGATGTTATGCATGTTTGTTTGTTGATGTTATAAAAAGAGCATCGAATAAGCTTGATGGAAGTGAATCCTATGGTTGTTACATGGAATGCGTACTTTTATTTTATTGTTTGAGACAGTAGTATTTAATCGATATCTTGATAGAAGTAAAATGTAGAGTAGCAGAGTTAAACAATTTATTGGAAGAAATAAGATGAGACGTAAACCTAATAGTAAGAAAAAAATAAATATATTTTTGGTAAATTTATCGTATGTAGAACTGGCCAAGAATTGGAGTCAGTTGAGTAAATTGATCATCAACATCCTTCTGGGCATGGAAGCAAATAGCCATTACAAAAATAACTTTGGCAATTATTATTCTTGTCATAACATCTTTGTTTGAAATTTGAAATTTCAGTTATAATTTTTGGTTGGATATTGGAAGTATCTTTCCGTTTGATTTTATATTATTATATCGTGGTGATATTTCGTTGATACGCTTAAATCGCTTACTGAAATCATATCGTTTCACTTATTTTATCGATCGTACTGAGATCCGTACCAGTTGGCCAAATGCATTCAAGATATTTGTTCTAATAATGACATGTATTGTACTGTTCCATTGGAATGCGGCTGCTTATTTTCTAATTAGTGTTATTAGTGGTATTCAAAGTGAGTTATTGATTTTGATTTGATTTTTATTTTGTACACGGGTAATATTCATAGAGGATAATTTTCTACTAGTGGATTCACGAAGTGAGCTTTTCCAACACTTGCTAGTTAGGTATTGAGACTGAGAAATAGAAGTAGTGATTTAGGCGAAGATCCTGACGTCTGGCAATTTACTTACACGAAAATCGCAGATCCGGTTATTCCGAAATGTGACACGTTTTTGTTAATTGGAGAATTGACAGACTGCAGCTTCAATGAGACGGATAGGAATGTAAACAATCGTCTGGAATATATTGATGAGATGATGCATTATTGGGAAAGCAGGTAAGTGTATTCTACCAAAAAAGTAGTTCTATAATGTTGGATGCAAATTTTCTACGAATTATCTATTAGTTGGTGATGATATATTCGATTACATAAAACTCAGGTCGGAAATTTTGGCGTTCCCAAACTTTAGTAAGGAATATGCATTATCTATGTACTGGTCATCGCTAACACTAACAACCAAGGGACAGCAGGTTACTAACAGTATTTATTCCTTTCTTTTGTTTTTACACATGTTCTCATTGTTTATGAACTAGGTTGAACTTCCCACCACATCCAAATATCATATTGAACTAGAACTACCATTAACCATCAATTATGGCAAAATTTCTAAAGTTAATTTATTTATCAATGTTAATTGGGTCCTCGTCTCATAATTTTATTGACAACAAGTACTTGATTCGCATATGGAGAATCTCATGATGAGACACATGTCTTCTCAGTGCAAGTTAGTGTCTTGGAAATTTATTTTTGTTTCACGAACATTGTTTATAAGGAAGTTCTTTACAGCCTTATCCAATGAGTTCATTAGAAGATGCACTTGAACTCATCGACACGCTGATTGGTTTATTGATTTTCGCTGTCATTGTTGGTTCTGTGGGAAGTGTCGTTTCATCAATGAATAAGGAAAAATCCGACTTTCAAGAAATCCTGGATGGTATCAAATTTTACATGAATTACAGGTATTTTCCCAATTCTGCAACACTATTCATTTGTTTAAAGACACTAATGTTTATTTCTCAGTCTTATCTTTTACTCAGTAACAAAATATTTAGTTGTCTTACTCATGCTTTTTTAAGAAAAGTGGATCCAGATATTCAAAAACGAGTATTAAATTGTTGTGACTATATCCACGATCAAGGAATCTCAAAAGATGAGAAGGTAAATTATTTCTCGTCTCATTACTACAGCTAATTGAAACATGAAATACTTGATAGTGTTTTCAGGCGCTTCTTGAAGGATTGCCGAAGAAATTGCATGGTCAGCTGGCGTCACATTTGCATTTGACAACTTTGCAAAATGTTGAGTTACTTCAGGTAATTTGAAATTTGTCTGCTGTTGCAAAGTGACAGTGGTATTTCAATCAGTCAGTGCTTCAAACCTCGTTCTTTAATCAAAAGGATGATTTATCATAAGACAATTATATTCGTCAGGGCATTTTTACTTCACTTGCGTTATATTCTTGCGTCTGCAGTAGTAACCAAATATCTTCTACATCTTTAATTTATGTTACTACAAAAGGCGGAGTAATTTTTCTTTATTAAAATGCTTCATCTTTTTGAACTGAATTATAAATGAAAAAGGTCGCACGACAAGCATTACCTAAAACGAATTTACGTTAGTAAATTAATTGAAAATACTAATACTACTGAAGCAAAACTCTTCTTTCTGTATTTCGTATCCAGTTTATCATATGAAATGAATCTGTAAATAAGCGTGTAATTTTTGTTTCAGCATTGTGAAAAAGGACTGCTGTTTGAGCTTATTCTTCGACTGAAATTTCAACTTTTCACCCCAAATGACTACCTCTGTCGTCGTGGCGAACTAGCGCGGGTAGATAAATATCATTACTTTTACTGAATATTTCAATAACGGCAGGCAGATGCTTTCATGTATAAGTCTTTTACAGATAACACGTGTGTTAAAACTCCGACATGAATGCGTCTTTATGTTTGCAGGAGATGTACATTGTGAAACGCGGACAACTAAATTGCGTTAGTGATGATGGAAAGGTCATCCTCAAAGTCCTTAAAGAAGGTGCTGTTTTTGGACAATTGGCTATATTGAATTTGTCCGGAAATAGCGGTAATAAGCATACTGTCTCAGTTCGTTCTGTTGGTTATACCGATGTTTATATTCTTCGTCAAGAAGATGTAAACGACGTCTTGCAAGAATATCCTCTAGCACGGCAAAATATGATGGAAAAAGGTCACAAAAGTTGTTGAACTTGATAAACTGCACTAGAAACCAAGTAGTCTGTAACTAGGCGATAGTTAAAAATGCCAACTTTTTAGCAAAATTGATGCTTCAAAGTAGCGGTCAGTGCAGTGAACGAATGTCAACAGCATTTGTTGGAGGCGCTGATGAGACCACATTAACATTAGAAGATGAAATTGGTGGGATAGAAAAGACAATTGGCTATCTTAGTGAAGAGATTAGTGAGCTATACGAAACGTTTGATGTACGCTCCATTTATTTGTTATGCAATGTTGTTTACTACCGCTCTCGAAAACTGTCATCAGTAATATTCATTACTGAGTTTCTTACAACTGCTTCCACTAGTTATGATAAAATGGTTACGAAAACTTCGACAGCATAAAGGAATAAATAATGGTAGAACTAATCAGTTATTAGTTTTTCTGGACTAATATAACACTATTTCGACATGATTACACAAACTGTGATCAGTGTATTGCAGAAAATGTCCATGGATTTCAAACAGCGCCTTACATCTCTTGAGGAAGCGTACAAGAAAAAATGTGAACGGCAAAAAATGAAAAAACAGTTTGTTAAGAAGCACAAACATTAAACTTGCTTGTTAGTTGTTGGCAAGCTGTATGAGCCTGTTTCTTGGAAAGTAGGTCTGTGATTCTCAGTGTCTCGTCACCCTCGCTCGAAAAATCCCCCTTCTCTACTTGATCGTGCTTCAGTTAACGAGAAAAGAAATTCAAAGGCAAGAATTGTATCTGATTCAGAAACAAGGTATTGTACGAAAGTTAACATGTTGCTGTGCAGAGATGAAAGACCAATTCTTGTTACGAGATTAAAAATATGCTTTGTTTCATTTGACAAAATCGACTTTAATGCCTCATTGTTGGCTATTCATTTTACCTAGAAGTGAGTAGTGGATCTTAATCATTGTTAAAAACAAAGGCAAATGTGGCTGAAAATAATTTTGATTTAGCATTCTAACTTACGCATGAAAAACGTCAAAGTAACTCTTAACATGAAGCAATTTTGGAGCACTTCCCCACAAACACAAGTACTAGCTGAATCCCCAACGTCTAAATAGCGAAGCAACGTATGCAATTTCATGAAGGGAAATCTTCGAAGAAGTTCAAGTGTTTAGCATGGATTCAAGGCTCCTCTCCAGTGGTATTTCACGACTCGTCTGAAGACTGATGGAAGGCGTTTTATATCAGCAGGAAACAGCGATCGATGGGTGGGAAGAGTTGAGTCGCTGTGTCTGTCAGTATCCACATATATACAATTATGTGTAGTCGATAAATTCAATAGAGGCAGAGTCCTTGATGCTGCAAAGGTTTTTCTTTTTCTCTCAAGACATTTTGACATTTATTTGCTGAAAGCTACATTCATATAATTTCCCAAGTAATCTTGCTAGAATTTACGATTGCGACAGTATAAATTCTGATCTAAGAATAACATCACAATAAATTTCAATCATATTAGATATAAACTCAATTTATTTGCTTGCATGGTTCAGAAATTTTGACTGCATTAAGAAGAAATATGTCAGCGAATAAAGAAAGGTAGAGCGTAACTTGTAGCTCTTAAGTCTATGATAGCTTACAGGACCCATGTCACTTTACGAAATTTTTGGCGAGGATCCAGTTAATGAGAATTGTGACGATAATCATTCAACTAGTAAAGGTTTTTTTCTCGTGTTTCGATGGCCAGCGTTTTCGAGCTTGTTTTGATTTCTCATGCCAGATAATCTGCTTGTAAGGCATGAGATGTTTGCTTAGTTCACTCGCTTTATTATTCTTCTCTCAATCACATTGAATTCGATTCCATATGTTTGACTTCATATCTACTTCGTTCATTTCATTAAAATAATTGATTGCAAGTTTTTTTTTCACTAATCTCATTGTATCATTTGATTTGTTATCGGCCCAACAAATATCGGCATATTTAGGCCTTCCATCGGCATTACGTCTTCTTCAGTCACAGATTCATATTAAGAAAACACAACTC